CTTGTCTTTGCACCTCGATGGTATTCTGGTTGTCGTTGATGTTCTCAGTTGCACTAGGTTTGCATCGTTCGTAATGTGCTAGGCTCATTTCGCTCGTAGACTGTTAGGTTGTACTACCGGTCATAGGAATAAACATCAAATTATTTCCTTTCACTATTTGTTTCCATCCTCTGAATATGTATCATGTACTCTTTTCATTACGCAAACATTCATCATATTTCTATGCCTCAGATACTCAGCTTGAATTGCTGACTGAATAAACTGTCATCATGAAATTGCCGTTCACTTTTCACTTCATTTTCTATTGTTGTAGACTGGACGTTAGTTAATCGAACATCAACTGGCTGTTTCACGCTATTCTCTTTATTACTGTTATTCAGATGTAATAATCATTTTGTTTGAAAATATTGTTGTGGGAATGACTCTGTTGACACATTACAATGCTGAGTGAGAATTACATAATGTATCATAAGTATTGTTTGGAATATTTATTTATTTGTCCTTTGGGTTCCTACTGGAACAAAAAGCTTCAGTAGCACATCACAATCTCACTCTCTTATCTCCAGTCTTTCAAACATGGCTACACAACTCCCACAGAACCTTTCATTTCCACCTCACATGATCTCCTACATGTCAACCTCGCCTAAAACGCCCAAATCGCCGTTGCCTACTCGACTTCCACTCGACCACCTTGACTGGTCTGGTGTGTCATGTCCTCAAACCGTCTTCTCACTCTATGTCCGATCCAATCCGATCCAATCCAATTAATTTCCACTTTCCTCCCTCCATATATGTTGCGTGACAGGTTCTTGGTCACTTGTTTCGTTGACAGATGGAGTGAGTTCCTTGTTGATTATTCTTATTATTCTAGCCATCTCATCTGATCTTCAATATCGAGTGAGCGTAGGTGATAGTAGTTGGTGTGACGTCTGCCGGCAGTTTGTTGGGAATTCTTTTCGCAACGTCCCAAGGTCTCTCAACCATCACATAGAAGCACTGGATTGACTTACTTAGTGTTGGAAATCTAGATGTTGTTTCTGCTGAATGCAGTGCAATTATTATTATTATTATTAGTCCCTTGGGTTCCTAGTGGAACATAGGGCTTCAGTAGCACGCCTCCAGTGACCTCTGTTCTCTGAGATCTTTTGAACCTGGTCCACGACAGCCCAGAAGCTCTCATTTCCTGCTCGCACGACCTCCTCCATGTCACCCTCGGACGTCCAACTCGTCGCTTCCCATGGGGATTCCACTCGAGGGCCTGACGCGTGATGTCCTCAGTCGGCCTTCTCAGTGCATGGCCAATCCATCTCCACTTCTTCCTGCATATTTGTTGCGTGATAGGTTCTTGGTTGGTTCGTTCCCAGAGTTCCTTGTTGCTTATTTTTTCTGGCCATCTGATCTTCAGCAGCGAGCGTAAGCAGTTGTTGATGAATGTCTGTAGTTTATTGGAAATACCTTTCGTGACGCGCCAAGTCTCTGAGCCATACAAGAGCACTGACTTGACGTTGGTGTTGAAAATCCGTATCTTGTTCCGCATGCTGAGTGCAGAAGATCTCCACACTGGTTTCAGGCTAATGAACGCCTGTCTTGCTTTTCCGATTCTGACTTTGACGTCCTCGTCCGTCCCGCCTGTAGTTGAAACAGTGCTTCCTAGATAAGTGAAGGAGGTTACTTCCTTCAAGTTTCTCCCGTTGACGGTGATTGGAGTTTGTTGTTGTTGTTGTTGATGGTGGTGGTGCGGTATCTTCATCACTTCTGTCTTCTCTATATTCACCTGAAGTCCCGTCTTCGCTGCCTCTTCTATCAACTTGTTAGTTTTTGCCTGCAGATCTTCAAGTTTATGTGACATTAGGCATAAGTCATCGGCGAAATCCAAGTCTTCTAGGTTCTTTTCCGTCGTCCAGTGTATCCCCCTCTTCTCGCTGCCTACTGTTTGCTGCATGATCCAGTCCACCACAATCAAGAATATCATGGGGGATAGTAGGCAACCTTGTTTCACTCCTGTCTTCACTTCAAAGGCATCACTGAGCTTCCCATTGTGGATTACTTGGCATGTGGCATCTTCATATAGTTGTTGAATGAGGCGGATAAAGGTTTGCGGTACTCCGTAGTATTGAAGCAGTTTCCAAATTACTTCTCGGTCGACGCTGTCAAAGGCCTTCTCAAAGTCGATGAAGTTGAGGTGGAGAGGTGATTGCCATTCTATGCTCTGTTCTATGATGATACGAAGCGTTGCAATTTGGTCTGCACATGATTTGTACTTCCTGAAGCCTGCCTGTTCCGGTCGTAGTTTTGAATCCAGTGCGTCTTTAAGCCTCTCCAGGATGATGCGGCTTAATATTTTACTTGGGGTGGACAGGAGAGTGATTCCGCGCCAGTTCTTGCAAGCACTGAGGTCTCCCTTCTTCGGCAGTTTGACAAGGTAACCCTTCTTCCAATCGTCAGGTACCTTCTCTTCCTTCCACACCTTCTGCAATAGTGGTGTGAGCATGGCCGCTGTTGTCTCTGCATCTGTTTTCAGTGCTTCTGGCGGTATTCCATCTGGTCCTGCTGCTTTCCCGCATTTCAGTAGCTTTATGGCGTTCAGGACTTCCATTTTCGTTGGGGGATTATGTTCACTTGTAATTCAGCGGCTGCAGGTGGTATTTCTGGACGAAGTGCAGGTGGTGGTCGATTCAAGAGCTTCTTGAAGTGGTCGGCCCATCGTTTCCTCTGTTTCTCTTCTTTTGTAATTAAATTTCCTTCTTCATCTTTTATTGGTTTCATCTGTGTTGGTCTCTTCCCTGATAGCAACCTGGTTATTTGATACAATGTCGTCAGGTCTCTCTTACCTGCAGCCTGTTCTGCTTCACTTGCCAGTGTTTCGTAGAAGTGTCTTTTGTCTTTGCGTGCACTCTTCTTCACTTCTTTGTCCAGTGTTTTATACATTGTGCTCAGTTCCTCTTGTCGTTGAGCATCCTTGCACTGGTTTATCTTCTGCTTCACCATCCTCCTCTCCTCTATCAGCTTCCAGGTATCCGTCGAGATCCATTCCTTGTCTTCTTTCTTCTTCCTTCCTAATACTGTTGTGCAGGTTTCTTTCCACATAGCTTTCAAAGACTTCCAGTGTTCTTCCACACAGGTTTCTTCAGGGATGTTGCTCGATGTCTCCCATTTTGTCTTGATGGCTGCCTTGAAGATCTCCTTTGTAGTTTCATCCTTCAGTTTCCGAGTGTTGTACTTGAATTGAGGTCTATCACCAGCTTCCTTGAAGGCTTTTAACTTGATTTGGAAGGTTCCTTGCACTAGGTAGTGGTCTGAACCTACATCTGCTCCTCTTCTTGACCTTGTGTTAAGTAGACTGCGTCTCCATTTTCTTGAGATTGAGATAAAGTCGATTTGATTTTTAGTGTGTCCATCTGGTGAAATCCATGTCGCTTTGTGGATATCTTTGTGCCTGAACACACTGCCTCCAATCACCAAATCGTTGAATGCGCAGAATTCTGCAAACAATTCTCCATTCTCATTCATTTCACCTAGTGCCTCTCGACCCATGGTTAGTTCTCTTCCCGTGTTGTCCCCTCCCAGTTTGGCATTCATGTCGCCCATCAGAATTTTGATATCGCCAACTGACGTCTTGTCCAGTGTTGATTGAAGTTGTCTGTAGAAATCCTCCTTTTTCTCTTGCTCTGCATTATTTGTAGGTGCATAACATTGTATGATTGTGACCTTTCTTCCTTTTGAGTTGAATCTTGCTGTCATGATCCTGGAGGAGATTGGTTCCCACTGCATGAGAGCCTTCGATGCTCTTGAGGACATCATGATAGCCACTCCCTCAGTGTGCTCGTGGTTGGCGTCTGGGTGACCGGAGTAGATTATTGATTCTCCAGTTGACAGTTTGGAGAGTCCACTCCCATTCCATCTGCTTTCGCAAATCCCAAGCACTTCGATGTTATACCTTCTCATCTCCCTTGCAATCTGGGCTGCCTTACTGGGTTCAAACATCGTGCGGACATTCCATGTCCCCACGTTTACTTTCGCTTTCATCGAGAGAAGACACATCGGCCAATTGGCTTCCCGAAGGCTTTCACCAACTGGCGTCATTTCGCCTCTCCGATTCCAGCGGGGAATAAGTTTGTTTTCATTTTTTATATTTTGTTTGTGCTTTGAAGTTTCTTTAGCGGTTAGATTTGTTTTACGGGGTAGGGTTGCTAGCCCTATGCCCAACCTTCCCTCTTTACCCGGGCTTAGGACCGGCTAGTAACTAGTAAACTAGTTAACCAGGCGAATGCAGTGCAATAGATCATTATTATTATCATTATTGTTATTATTATTTTTATTACATATCGTTAACTTCTTCGTTAATTGTTCTCGTTTACCCCGTGGGATGTTCCCATCTTATTCGCTTTTTCTGTCTTTTCAGTTTTATACTACGTAATATTTTTGAGTAGTATAGTTCATGTTTCCTTATAATGTTCATTGCGTTCAATTATATCTGGCTCACTATTCAGCATCCACAGTTTTTTTTTTTCCTTGTTCCCTGATGTTGTATTTTACCTTGAACATTTGTTTATCTTGCGTCTTAACGTCATCATAAGGAGTTAAGCGCATCATTTATATTCCCTTCTGGTTGTTTGAACACACAGTTTAGCTGTTTTTACACGTAATTCGAGCGTTTGATTTATGTTTGAGAAATCATATATTCGCTTCGATTTCGAATCTTTTGGAAAGAAACTTCATATACAAGAATCATTAATAATGTAACACATTGGAGAAGTGAGTTCACCGTCTTAACTAATTTACAATAAACACTAATCTGATTTATTTTATTGAGAATCAAAGTATTCAGTTTAACGAGAAATTTACCAAGCATAATGGATTAAGACAATAACTACTTATCCACCCATAAGATTTTTACATTTTCACAACATCCAATTAGTTCCTACGGTAACAACAGTATGGATTATACAAAAGGGAACCAGAATAAAATTTAGTATCTTGATAATAAGTATCAAACTTACATGTTTATTGTGTGAATAACAATGACCACCAATTGCTGTTGATGTTCTCATTGAGTCAGTCAGTGTAAATGGAATGTCCTGCTTATTGTTGATATCACTGTTATTGTCAATATCTAATACAGCTAAAGATAAAATAAATGCACAAAAAAAAGCGATAATGAAGTAAACAACAAGAGAAACAAATGATTGATTACTGAGTTTGAGGTTTTCATGGATTGATATATCAGTTGGAGAATCATGGCGAAATTAGGAGCACTGGACAGCTGTTTCGTCTCAGTATCGGATTCTTAGGCAGTACGACCCTGCTAAGTCGGAAGTCAAACGAACACCAATTGAAAGGTTTGAAGGATAGTCATGATCTATAGCAAACTGACAGAAGTAAGAGAATGCAGATCATTGAGTTTCGAGCCAGCGGCTCAAGGACAACATGGTAACGATGGAACCTGAAGGTCCTAGGTCTGATCCCTGGCTATCCAGGGTCATGGATGAAAACTGCTGAAGAGTCCCACACTAGACTGAAACAGCACTTCAGTACTTCTGGGCTTTTAATGATTCTCCAACTGACGTCAGTGGTTGATAAATGACTGACTGACTGACCAACTAACTGATAAAATCAACGTAGAACCTCGCATACAAGTGCATCGATTCAAGTTGACTCATTTCACAGTAGTATACAAGGAACAAGTGGATAGAGTAAGAGTAAAATCAAAGTAGACGAAGTTATGTGAGAGAATAAACACTTTGAAGATAAAGTTTAACGCGAATATTCAAGTTTTGAAAGATGTTAAATAGTGAATAGATCTGCACCATTGGGATCGATTTCCAGTCTTTTCATCTAGAGCTCTCAACGATGATTTCTAAAGTTTCAGGAACCCTAGCCAAGAAGTCTACATCTCCCCACACTGCCCACACCAACAGTCAGGGACTTCATCGACTGCTGCTAAGTTTTGATCCAGTAACCCTGAACCCTCTTGTAACCTAAACTAACTTCAATTAGCATTGCATGTCGTGGTAAGTGGTGGCTCGGCACGCATAGCACATGTCAGTCACCTCAGTCGACGAAGATCTACAACTTCATTGGCTGCCTTCCCTTCCTGGTACTCTTCCTCTAACTTCAACATTGCTAACATGGTGACTGAACCATACGTGACCAATACTTTGAAGGCATAGACACGCTACACAACCTCATATTTTACTTCCACCTTTTCTGATTAGATAAATATGACTATGCTAGTGGTAACGACTGTCTCATTGCTTTGACAGACGCGAACCGAATATTTCTGCCCGACTGGACACATTACGCAGTCAGTCAGGACTTACTGTAACAGTAGATGTTAGCTGATTGAAGGCAATCACCAGGAAGCCTTCCTCTACCGAGGTTTCGAGCTTATCGGCACTCGTCGGTAAGGCGTATCTTCAAATTCGACGGAACTGATGTCCCACCTGAGATTAGGACCCGTGTCACCCAGTGTTGCAGTTAGCAACTTCACCAATGAGCTATTCGGGCCGCTGGAACTGTAACTGTAACAGCATTCTCTCATGCACAAAGTAAACTGTTTCCAAATTAGTAACTTAGTATTCTCATGTACCATTAGATAAGTTTGAAAATATACTCCTCGAGAAAGGAAGAAAATCTTTAGCTGGGCTATTTGTATATGGCGTCTGCTTTTCTTGTTTATCTCTCTCTCAATAGTTACGCCAGCCTTTTAAATACTGTTAAGATTTTACAAGGCTTACAGCTATTTAAGGTCAGCTCAACGTAATCTACGAATGAGCTGGCTTTCGATCAGGTGGATAGATATGAAAATGGCAAACACAACAGGCTATGCACTCCTACTAACGGAAAACACTCTAAAGTCGAAGGCATGCCTACTTGTACCTCTGGCCTGGGTTATCTCGCTAAGGTGGGTCGTATCTCCGACCCAACTACCTCGACCTCACCTCCGTTACTGAGGTGATTGTTACACAAGCGTTTCAGCTTTTATTGCCTGAGTGATAGTAACAGATAATTGACCAGTTTCAGGAGTCAATCGGTGACTGCTTCCGAAAACCCATTCATTCTCCTACTCTCAGATAATCTTTAAATACTACTTAATGTAGATAAATTGTAATTGAGTGAATTATCCTCTTCTTCAACTTGATTAATATCTACCTTTGAACTGATTAACTAACAACTAATAAATTAATTGAACAATCTTAGTCTTCCATTTTGGATGGACAGCGGCTAGCAGTAATTAAAGGAACAAAGGAATTTCCAACAGAATTTCTATCCTTATTATAATTAAGTGGTTGTTACTTCTATTTTAGGCATATGGATAGAAAGCATATATATATATATATATATATATATATATATATATATATATACCAAGCATACACTCATGCACCAATATATAACGAAGACGGTTCAGTAAATTTGGAGATTACATGACAAACGTATTAATTAGCGATAAAATGAGTAGTATTCAGTTCAATCTGATATTGATTTATTAGGTAAGAAATAGCTAATGATTTCAGAATTGACTAACTTCTCTTGTACACTCCATTCCACTCAAGTGAGTAGGACTCAAAAGTCTACGCGTGGAATAAATAAATTAACCAATATTACAAGAAGACAACACTATTTAGTACTACGAGAATACTCGTTTAACTAAACTATCATCAAGCAAATGAGTAAAACAATAAAATGTCGGTCCTAGTTCTTACACTATGAAGCAAATAAAATAGATGAGAACAGAAAGGGAAAAAATGGTGAAGAGTAGTAATCAAGTTAGATTTTACGACGGGATGTGGAACAGAGCGAATGTGTAGGACTCATCTAAGCTGTTAGTTGGATGGAGGCAATCGGCGGAAAGCCCTGCTCGACCTAGGTTTCGTGCTTCCCGGCACTCGTCAGCAAGGCGTGTCTGAAACCTCGACGGAACCGACCTCCCACCTGAGATTCGGACCCACGTCACCCAGTATTGTAGTCAATATCACCACTGAGCTATTCGGGACGACATTGACAACATGAAATTGACTGCACTCCCGTGACCAATCAATGCATTTACCTAAGCTATTGAACCACGCCTTATCATTCGGACCGTAGGGTCGCGGGATTCGAGTGGCAATGGAAACACCAACACTGATTAGGAAGCAGGCACATGCAGCTAACAAGACGCGAAGCGCATGTCATAGGTCACAACACTGCTAACTATCATCAGTGTCAAACTGAAGCTATTGGCAACATCAAAGTAATCACATAGAAGCTCATAATGCTATGCTAATAATGGCCAGTGAGATCGTTTCAATCAAAGACAAGATTTCCTCACTGGTTATTATTCATGGATATACACTGTTAAAACACACGGAACACCAGACGTATTACCGCTATCATTCATTATCTGTCCTTTAGATTCCTGGTATAACATAGGGCTTTAGTAGCACGTCACCATCTCACTCTCTTATCTCCAGTCTTTCAGACTTGGCTACACGACTCTCACAGAACCTTTCATTTCCACTTCACATGATCTCCTACATGTCAACCTCGCCTAAAACGCCCAAATCGTCGTTACCTATTCGACTTCCACTCGACGGCCTTGACTGGTCTGGCGTGTCATGTCCTCAAACCATCTTCTCACTCTATGTCCGATCCAATTCATCTCCACTTTATTCCCCTCCATGTATGTTGTGTGACAGGTTCTTGGTTAGTTGGTTCGTTGACAGACGGAGTGAGTTCCTTGTTGCTTATTCTTATTATTCTAGCCATCTCATCTGATCTTCAATATCGAGTGAGCGTAGGTGACAGTAGTTGGTGTGACGTCTGCCTGTAGTTTGTTGGAAATGCTTTTCGCAACGTCCCAAGTCTCTCAACCATCATATAGAAGCACTGGATTGACTTACTTAGTGTTGGAAATCCGGATGTTGTTGTCTATGCTGAGTGTAGTGCAGTGCAGTGCAGTAGATCTCCACACTGATTATTTCAGATGAATGAAGGGCGCTCTGTCTTGCAGTCTTTCCCATCCTGACTCTGAAATCCACATCTGTGCCTGCGTTTCCTGTAATTGAAACGATGCTGTCTAGGTGGGTAGGTAAGTGAAAGAGACTACATCCTTTAAGTTCCTCCCGTTGATGGTGATTGGAGCTTGTTGTTGTTGTTGTTGGTGGTGGTGGTGGTGGTGGTGGTGATGGTGTTGGTTGGGTATCTTCATCACCTCTGTCTCCTCTACGTTCACCTGAGGGAAGTGCTGTCTTCACTGTCTCACCTCTTCTGTCAACTTGTTAGTTTTGTTTTTGCGTGTGGATCTTCGAGTTTGTGAGACAAGACATTAGACATCAGTCGTCGGAGAAATCTAAATCTTCTTCTGGTGTATTTTCATCGGTCAAAAAGTGTATGCCAATCTTCTCACAGCTAATTACAGTTATCTGTGCCACGATTCAATCCAATCCAGTCGAGTCGAGTCGAGTTGAGTCAATCACAATCAGGAAGATGATCGGTGATAATTCTAGTAGGCAGCAACCTTGTCTTACTCCTGTCCACTGTCTCCACTTCAAAGGCATCACTGATCTGCTTTCCGTTGTGAATCACTTGACATATAGCATCATCATCATATAGCATATAGCTGCTGTTGAATGAGGTTGATAAAGGTTTTTGGTATTCAAACCATAGTGTTGAAGCAGTTTCCGAATTACTGGTGGGTTGACGCTGTTGAAGGCCTTTTCAAAATCGATGAAGTTGAGTTAAAGAGTTGACTGCGATTCTACACTGTATTGTATGATGATGCGTAGCATCGCGTTGCCATTTGATGCGAAGATGATTTGTTTTTCGTGAAGCCAGTCAGCCTGTTCCGGTTGTGATGTAGTTGAATCGAGAGCACCTTTTAGTCTCTCCGAGATGATTTGGTTTACTATTTTGCTTGGGGTGGATAGGAGTGGAGCATGATTCCACGCCAGTTCTTGCAAAGACTTAGGTAACCCTTGTTTGGGAGTTTGAGAAGGTAGCCCTTCTTCCAATCTGGAAGTACCACATGAGACGTAGCGTAAAGCGAATTTATTGTGTTCTGTAGCTTATCTCCAACAAGAGAACACACGTAACTAAGAGACAATATAACCGAAGAGGATCTTTCTCAATCAATTCTCATCAGACTCTACAACCGAATTACTGTCCAGTGCTCATCGATGACTTCTTTCGAGATGAGATTCCCGAAGTCCTAATCAGAAGTCGTCACCGGTAAAGCAACTGAAGTTATACTTGATAGGGCAGTTAATCAACCATGACATTGGAAGGAGGACGCGCTGTATAGCGAACTAGCAGAAATAGGAAAAACGTGCACTATTCGATCCAGGCTTAGTGGTAATTTGCTGGCTACGGAATAAGAAGTCCCTGGGTTTGATGCTCGGCAGGACCAAAGATGTGTGCTGCTGAGGAGTGCCACGTTAGGACGAAAGAGCTGTCCAGTACTACCAGATTTTCAACGGTTCTCCAATTGATGCCAGTCTATGATTAATACTAACTTCAGATCAAAAGTAAAAAATGCGAAGCGATTACAAGGTATTGATCGCAGGTGTCTTCATAGCATTCCTCACGTTTGGCGGAATCACTGTGTGACCAATGTTCAAGTCAGGCAAAAGGACTATGCAATATAGGCAAGTCGACTGACTGAAGTGGCTTGAATATGCACTGCACATGCCAACCCACCACCCACCTCGACGTGCCATACCAGGGAAAGTTGGATTAGGTTAACAGAGGGTTCAGGGTGGCCAGACTAATATCTGGCACCGTTAGATGGAGACCCTCACCAATGGTCTGAGCCGTGTGAGGAGATGGAGACTGCCTAGTTGGGGTCCTTGAGAAGAAAGGGATCTGTGGCTGAGGACTCTCTTAGTGAGATGGCTAAAAATTAGTCGCAGTAGCACAGATGTATTCATTTCTTGATATCCTCTGAAACTTGAATATTTGCACTGACCGTCCTCTTCAAATTGTTTATTCTCTTAAACAACCTTGTCTGCTTTGCTATCACTCCTACTCTTCAGCCGATGCACTTGTATGAGAGGTTCTACGTTGATTCTGTCAGTCAATCATTTGAGATGAATAAGTGCAACAACAGGTCAAGTTTGCTGTAAGAAAAAAAAACATTTTTGAAACTATGAAGTATAAATTAGAGACTGTAAGTAAGCAAAGCAATTTTCAATTTGTCAATATTAAGATGGCTTGAATACACAAAACGAATCTCTTACATGATAACTTTAAAGTTTAACCACCCTAACAACTACCCCATTTAGTTCCCCTACTTATTTGTTTATTGAAAAGACGATCTATCCAGCTGAAATGAAGAAGTTCAATTCATCATTTCATTAGTTCATGGAGTGGCCATATCTTGAAAGCTATTCAACGATATAAAGTAAGAGAAAATAATTACATATTTCAAGGTTATGTTATGTGTTTGACATGTCATGTGTTTCACTTGCTTAACACCTCCAAATGGATATACAATTACCTGCCAATGTTAACCTGCAGATGATTAATCTTAGGATAACCAAAATCAAAATGAATATCACTAAATCCTTGTTCACAAAGTTATGGCTCGTTAGTTTAAGGAGATAACTTTCAATCAGTGGACCACAACTGCAACTTATTTTATAGCTTGTCCTGATGGCCTTCTGTGTGATTGGTTGTTTCTGCCAAGATCTTTTCATTTTCTCCATATTTAGTTGTCCTGATGATCTAACTGGGAAAATGTGAAAAATTCCTGGATAGCGGAGATACAAAGAATGCCAGAGGATTTTTAGAAGCTTCACATTTAGATCAGTCAGTAATAAACCGACATATTGACATTGCCCGATCCATTAACCAATTAGAAATAACACGAAGATCAAATTTAAGGTCAACAGGACAGCCAATCGAAATAAACATAGAGACAATGACAAAAGTTTGGCAGAAATAACCAATCATATACAAGGCCATCAGCCATCAGCCTATTAAATAGATTGCAGAGAAAAACTTATCGCTCACTTCTTTCTGAAGTTTGTGCTGATGATACTGTCCAGAATGAAAACAAAAACTCTACAATTAAAAAAATACAGCTCAGAGAAGTTAACCCCATCAAAATTGTTCACCTGAGCTATAAATATTCTCTACCGTTGATGACTGGTTGCGTAAACCTCGATAAGTGGAGAGTTTAGTTGAATCACATCATCTACTGGTTAAAAATCGGCTGCCTAGACCGTTGAACTACAAATTCACATGATTTGGATTTTCGAAACCTTATTAGCGTAAAAATAGATAATACAGTAAACAAAGAAATAAAATAACATCCGTAAATTGATGACACAGATACTTACTTGGAAACTGATAACCATACAAATTATCTGTATGAAATTGTCTATGGTTAGATTTATCTTTTGTAAGTACTAATTCAAAATTTGACTGAGAGTTAGTCAACTTCGGTGTAATGAGAAGACATTCAGTATCATGATGATGATTGATGTTTGATTGCAGGGAATGCGAATTCATTACAACACCAGATACATTCCCAGATAGATTAGGTGATAAAAATGATGATGTTGATGATGATGATAATGTGGATGAGTGAAGGAAAGCATTAGAGGAATAGGCTGATTTCTTCCAGATATAATCGCTTAGGATACGAATTAAAGTGGATAAAGATACCTAACATATAAAAAGGTATTAACAAAGAAAAAAAGTAACATGTATATCTGGTAACTGATTTAACACATACAGTTCAATTGGTGGTTTATATGAAAACCTACGAGCACAATACAACTATTTCGTCGTCGCTTGAGACTCCTCAATGATGCGTACCCGCGATCCTGTGAAGGATAGCATCCAGAACCGCCAAAGTTTGGCGGTGAAAACGTTAGTATTCAGACACTAGGCTAGATTTCAAAGTCGACTAACTCTCATTACTGTCAATCCTCGATACAACGTGATTAACATCCAATGTAACTGGCAAGGTTATGCTTCACTACCGACTTGGTTTACTCCAAAGATCATGACTTGTTAACAAGTAATCGTCGATAGCACTGCACTGAATGATAGTCGCGCTGTATCTGTACCTTCGAACTCCTTCCTAGCCAATGGCTAAATGGCAATATCCTTGCCACCAAATCTGAAAGTCTCGAGTTTTCACATATAAGGAGTGGAAAACCAGAACGGAACAGCTATCCAGTTTTCCTTGATTTTCGATGGTTCCCCAAACGACGTCAATCCATGATGAAAACAATATATCTAAGCAGAGATGTTTATTCTAAGTAGAAATTTGGTCATAGATGCCTAAGTAACAGTTGAATAACATCCAAGTTTATACTCATCACACTGTTCTCTAGGAACTATACAGCCTTACAAGTCTCAACTAACTTTTCATAGTGAACCATTAATGTCAATCATCATAAAAATAAATCTGAAAACTAGAAAAACACAGTATATATAACATCATTTCCTTCTACCTAAAACAAAAATTGTCACTAAGATTTCTGCAATAAAAAGTAAGTAGAAAAGTGAGCCACTGAAGAACCACTGAATAATTAGAGGCGCTAGATAGCTGTTTCGTCCTAGTAGGGACTCGTCAGTAGCAGGCACCCAAGAACCTGTCAAGTTCGAAGTGAAGCGGACGTCAACTGAAGATTTTGGTGAATACTGAATTAACAGAAGTGGGAAACTGTGGTTGAATGATTAAAGCGCTTATCGGGTTACCTGAAGACTCATCAGAGTTCGATCCCCGATGGGGTTGTTAGTGAGTACTACTGAGGTGTCTTACACTAGGACGAAACAGATGTCCACTGTTTCCAGCTTTAATTTACTCTTCAAATTCATTAATTCTAATGCTGTAAATAAATATGTCCACTTATGACTTGATTTCGTACACTAGTAGTTTTCATGTTAGTTTTTTGATGCACTGAATAAACAGTGAATAATTTGGAGAAATAAAATAGCCAAGAAAATAGTCATCATTACTTCACGTAGAGTGAGGTGGTGAGATGGGAATTACCAACTTTCAACGAACTGACTGACTGAAGAAAACGAACGTAGAACCTGACACAGATCCATCAGTTGCTATACTTCACAATAGTACAAAACAACAGATGGATAGAAAAAGAGTAGACAAAATTGTGTGGGAGAATAAGCAATTTGAAGATGAAGGTTGGATCGAATATTCAATATTTAACGAACAAGGCAGCTACTTCAGTCGTTCAAAATGGAAAATGAGCAGGAGTAGTACTTATACTTCTCCAATGTATGCGTAAAATGCAAAAACGATGGCACAATAGAAAAAAGTGCTCACCGTAAAACCATTCAGTGTGACCAGTACTTAAACTTTCACAGCTTTAGTCCAGTAAGCTGTAAAAGACGAGAAAAAGCCCAGCTGAGCATCATTGGGTGCATGCTATGTACTCACCATCACTCCATGTTGCTCTCATCATCAGTTCAACGGAAAAATACTGTGGAGTGTCTATAGACGGAGGACCTGGTCTACGCTGGCGATTATCGACCAGGAAAAGAAAAATCGGTAGAAGGTCAAGGTGGAACTCTGGTGTACAAGGTTAAAGTGGGGCATGAAAGATGGATGAAACACAAAAATCATATATGATGTCGCCACACTACGTCCTCAGAAACTGAGATACCCTTAGAACTGCTACTTGAAACTTTCAAACTACCAACCCGAGGGGAACCGAAGGTCAAAAAGGAGTTTCTACCCAACTGAAGATCTGATCACAAAAGATCTCGGATGGTACACTTTCAAATCGACCCAAAAAGACAGAGGTACTAAATTTTGTTGTTACAGGGCTATATACCCCCTAATTTTGCCTCATTTTTGTTTGATGTTTGTCTATAACCTTAAAATAAACTATCATAGATCTTTTCACATCGATGCTAGCCTTAGTTTTCCCACAGCTCTGAAGGCCGAACTCTCATTGGTTGTTAACTATATGTGGATTTAATGTCGTCAAGGTAATTTAGAAATGTATGTATTCAGCATCGCCGCTAACTGTATTGACTGCTGTTGAGACAGTAGAAAGCTCTTCATCGACGGTTTGTCTTCTCTTCTTGTCTTTACATGTCAGTGGTGTTGTGGTGGTGATGGTTGACGTTCTGATTAGCGTTTATAGTCGATTCGTTGAGTGTTAGGTTCGTAACGCTCGTTGACTATTAGCTCCTACTACCAGTCGATAAAATTTTAGTCAATCAGTCAGCAATCAAGAGAGGATTTGGCATTATCGCGTAACGGTTCAGCGTGCTACAACTGATACCAGTACATCAAATAACAATGCGTCAGGATGAAAGATGAACATTATCGAAACTGCTATGAAGCGACAAATCAAGGAGAAGAAGAAATTACACAATGATGAAATTCAGTACAACGATTGATAGTATTATAATGTGTAGATGCATCTCCACCATTGACATCGATACATAGCCAAATCGAGTAGACTTCAGCCAATGATTTCACCTGTCATGTAGCCCCAAGCCAGGAAGTCTGGATTTCACTACACAGCTCAGTTTTAGTCTAACATGCACCAGTGGGTAAACGATGATTAAGCATGCATAACATATATTTCAGCCACATAACTTGATGAAGGTTCACCATATCACGAACTTACTTTCTTCTTCTGTCTAAAACTATGCGCCTGACTTCCACATTACTGACGTGGTGATACTACAACATATAGCCAATTCTACAAAGGCTACTGTGGTTCCCCATCATTAAACGCCCATGTTTCACAGACAGACAGATAAATCAATGTAGAACATCATAAAAAAGTGCATCTGCACAAGTTACGACACTTTGCGGTAGCATGTAAAGAGTAAAACGACATGAAAGAAGTATTAATGTAGAAAAAGGTGAGATGAGAGAGGGTACATCAACAAAGGTTAGTGAAATTATTCAAAACTTCGAAAGTAACAAAAGCGATGTATGCGACTCTCCACGATTATAACTGATTTCCAGTCAACTTACAAAGATTCTGTAACCATTGATTCCTATTATCTTGAAGATCTCAGTCAGATAGTGCACACCTCTCTACATGATTCAAATCAGCAATCAAAGACTGGTGCAAAACCTTGGTCAGATTAGCCCTAACTTTCTTTCCATCAATGCTACTTCGGTGAAAATTGAACTTCAAGGTAGGCAATGGTTCGGTATGAGCAACAGATGTTCAAAACTTGGTTGTATTAGGTTCTCTCAGCTGGGTTGTTTAATCCCGGAGCTTTCATCGTCTTTCTAGACGACATCATCAGCACTAACTTTAGTATGAAGTGAGCTGTCAATATCTCTCCATGAGTGATTTAGTAGCTTGCCCTGACGAACTGGTTCGTGATTGATTGTTTCCTTGGAATGTTGTGTTATTGACTGCATAGATTTTTCTGTTGGTTGTTGGCATGATTAAACAAGATGTTTCAGAAATCATGACAAGATTACCGTGACCACTTGGAATTGGTGTGGCTCATAAACCAACAAAGTCCCTCCAAACACTATTATGCAGACCAAAGGATGCGACAACCAAAGAAGATAAACTGAATATCATTTACAAAATCAGCTGCAATAGCTGTAGTCAACACTATATTGGACAAAGTGGTCACCCTCTTCGCCTTTGTTTACATGAACACCGGTTGCACGTGGATAATTATGGGCATGAATTGAATATTGACAATGTAGAAATCTTGGACGGAGAGAGGAAATACAAAGAAAGTCAGAGAATTCCTAGAAGCTTGGCACTCGGGTCAGTCAATAATCAATAGATGTATAGATGTACAGACCCAACCTATCAACCATAAAAAATGATAAACGACAGAAAGGTCAGAAGTCAAGCAGAGGAACATCCAAGTGGAAAATCTATGTAGTCAGTAGCACAATAACCCAAGGAAACAACCAATCACAAACCAGTTCGTCAGGGCAAGCTACTAAATCATTCATGGAAAGATATTGACACCTCACTTCATACTGAAGTTAGTGCTGATGATGTCGCCTAGAAAGAAGATGAAGCTCCACGATTAAACAACTTAGCTCAGACAGTACAATACAACCAAGACCATCGAAATCAGCTACAAATATTCTCCACCACTTCAAGATATTCAAATCAAGTTAGTCAGTGGAGCTTCACGACTGCACCGACTGATATGCCTTTCCTGTCTTCTACATAATGCTTAACTTCACGATCGGTTACTAGTGAGTAACGATATAAAGACATATCTAACCTCTTCATATCTGTCAATTTTAACGGTCATGTCTAAAAACCATACTATAGAACAGAGAGAACTGTTGCACAATATAATCATTGGATGTCTCACTAAATAGGTAAGGTGACCAATGAACTTAACCACATCACTCATTATTCCCGAACTAAGCAGTAACGCAGACTATTCCTGGTAAGACGATTTGCTTTTGAGGGATGATAACTACATTACTAGTTAACAGTAAGTAATATTATTTCGCAGTGAGTGCATGGCAAACAGTTCTTTCCCATATTAATGATGAAACGTATACCAAACTCTCTCTCTAATCAAGGTGTCCAAAAAACTCTGCATCTTCACTGAATAGGACTATGCGTTCAGCGTACTCTAGATTTCCGATGAAGTATCCTGTGATAAGGTCATATCTTTGTTTTCATGCCGATCGTTGTTTACACTCACCCTACCTAATGAACAGTTAA